CGCGGTACTTACAGTCGACTGTGCCAACCACCTACGGGTCCCGGTCATCGTCGGTGACAGAACTCACTGTCCACGAAGTACAGTCGAAGAAGGTCCCCAAGTTTACCTCGAGCCTCACTCAGGTAGATTTTTGGTGGACAGTTTCAGAGGGTATTCCGGTGTCACTGGACCTCTGGCCCTCCTCGGGACGCTCGATGGAAGTATTTTGCCGTCTGGTCCCCTACGACCGACCGGCAGGATGGGATTTTCGGGTGTACCGTACGCCGTTATCGTCGGTTTCATGTTTAAAATTAGCAGCCTCTTTCCGAGACAACAAATAGCGTTGGTCCAAGGACGTTTTACTATTTTTAGTGAGGTTGTCCTTGTGACTTTCTTTCACACGGAGAAAACTTGCTGTGGTGAGGAAGTTTGCGGAGGGGTGCATATCAGTATCGTCTCTGGACCACCCACCTCCCCCGAGAGAGCGTGAGACTTATCACCAACAGTGGAGAACGCCCTCTTCATAAGCAGGTGACATAGAATTTAACATGGTCGAGTGCCCAGGTTCGGGTTTTCCCGGTACGCCGAGGCCCACACCCACTTTCTGGCGGGGGGGGAGCGGACCTCTGTTATACAGACGGACGCGTTCCCCTTCGACGGTGGCCGTACTTGCACGTCGTTGACTATTTAGAGGCCGGTCACGGTCATATAACGTCCGGTCACGCCTTCGATAGTTCTTAGAACACACTCCGTGACAGGAGGAGTGAGACCGGTCTCGACCCCCATAGTCCCCGGTCCCACCTTTGCGCATGTCCTCCTGGCCCCCCGGTGAGCACACGCTTGCGCAGGTGCGGATTGCCACGCATAAAAAACGCAAAGAAGCTAAGCCGCGTAAACTCTTCTTTTCGACTGGTCACTCAGTAAAGAAAACTACGCTTCGTCTAGATGGTATCCGGAGCCGCGCATTGCGTTGGGTGTACGACCGAGTGTAGCAAACCTACCATCTCAGGTTAGATGTATACCCCAAGTGGGAGGACCTGTCATTCAGACGCGGGCTCCAAGTTATGCGGGACCATTGCACGCAACGAGAGTCTCTCTCCTCTGCCGGCGTCGAAGGTGGTTCTAAGTCAAACGCACTCGGTACACATTCACCTCTCTCGGCGTTTGGGGGAACAACCAAATAATGCTATTGACACCCAGCAGTAACAGTTAGCGACGTGCTCCTGTACCACAGGAGACTCTTTTCCGTCCTTCGAAAAGTCCCACTCTTGTGGCGATCTCTCGAGGTACATTAAATACACCGGCCGACCGGCCAGAGACGAGTGTCTCTGGGGAGTGGCCCGCTGCGGAGCATTTATAGAGGGGTCGGACAGTCTGTACACAGGCACCACTTGATAGGGATGCATTCTCCTGGTCAAGCGTAGCCATGCGGAGGCATGATCTTTTCAGCCCACATCCGGTCAACGCGTCACCGGGGAATTCGTTGTAGCCGGGGCAATTGGTAGTGGGGCGGCGCGCAGGGTCAAAATCTCGCCGATGCGGGTCGGGGCGACTCTGGAGGGGTACACATTCGCAGGGGCGTCAAGCAGTACTGGTCTTACCGAACTGCGGTACTCGGGGGTCATATGCCGCATCCGGGTACTAGACTTCCCTTGCTACAAACGCGTCAGGCCTTTGCTCGCTCTGGTTCGAGACTTTTTCGAAAGTGAGAAGAGCGGCTGTTCCGTCCGACATTTTCCGGGTGCGCTCAAATCCTACATTTGGGCATCCTTCATGCACTCAGTTCGCCCGAGGGTTAACGAGAGTGTTGCTGAAGCCCAACCCTGCCTTTGTACCTAAGGTGGTGGGTTCATGTACTCCAATTGACATTGAAGCATTTCCTCCGCCGCTGTGTCCCTCCGGGGAACAGCAGCCGAATTTGCTGTGTCCAGTCCATGCTTTACGCACTTACATGGACAGATCAAAGAAGTTTCGTCATAATGACCAACTCTTTGTGTCCTGGGCTAACCCTCAGAAGGGCAGGCCTGTTACCAAGCAACGGCTCTCCCACTGGATTGTGGAGGCAATTGCTTTGGCCTATACAAGTCAGGGTTTGCAGGCACCTTCGGGTTTGCGTTCTCACTCGACTCGTGGTATGGCTACATCCTGGGCTTGGTTCAAGGGTGTTTCCATTCAAGACATTTGTGCAGCAGCGAGCTGGTCCTTGCCGTTCACTTTTGTCCGCTTTTACAGGCTAGACGTCTCTACTCCCAGTGTGGCTCGAGCAGCGCTGGGCCCCCTGCTGAGTTAGAGATTTAACTGTAAGGTTCTGGTTGGTCTTGGTGACTTTTGAGATAAGCTCGTCTGGCAATACGGGAGTTACGATTTCCCATAGTGAGACATCGAACGGAGTGTTATGAATGAGAACTATAGGTTACTTACGTAACCCCAGTTCTCAGACTAACATCAAGTGAGATGTCTCACCAGACGGCCCTCCTTGCTATGGTGAAGCGAGAAGAGGTGCTTATTTTGAATGACGCATGCGACGTAGCGCAAGCTACTTATAGGGGGTGGATTCCCTGACGCTGACGTCAAGATCACCTGCCAATCAGGATTGACGTATGTGAGATTGATGCTTCTGTTTGCTCCGCGATGAGGCGCATCCCATTGTGAGACATCTCACTTCATGTTACTCTGAGAACTGGGGTTACGTAAGTAACCTATAGTTAATATAGTCATTGGTAACAGTAGTTATTTCATCTAGTGAACCTTCCTGAAAAATGTCCCAATCTGTCCAATCAAAACAGGCTTTAAACTGTTCCCTACTTTCATTTGTCCATGTCCTTATTACTTTCTTTTCCGGTTTACTTCTCTTCAGTTTGGTCTTATACACTGGTATCATATTCACAACATTATGATCAGAGTTCAGTATTGGTGGTCTACCTTGAGTCACATAGGCTCCTTTAACATTTACGAAGCATTTGTCCAGGATATTGTCTTTTCTGGTGTGATCCTTAACATACTGTTGGAACCCAGGTAACACAGTCTCTAGGCGACATTGGTTCATGTCCCCGAGCACTATTGCCGGTGCATCGGGGTGGCTGAGTTGCAGCTCGTGAACACAGTCAGCGATGGAGCCGGCCGCCAGTGACGCTCTGCCGCTGGGAGGCACGTAAACAACAAACAGTAAAATACACCCGAATTCTCTAGGCAGATAGAAGGGTCTTAACGTCATGCCGAGTTCTACGTTGGGATCACAGGTTTTACATTTTACTGAGTATGATCGGCACCACAGATCATTAATATACACACAAATACCGCCTCCTCTGGTTTTCCCCGAGTTCGCATCCCTGTCTGCTCGAACAAGGGTGAATCCGGGCACTTCAAAGAGAGATTCAGGCATCGTAGATTGTAGCCAACTTTCCGTGAAACATAGTAAAGAGGCCTCACGAAATTCATGACAGTACCTTCTGTATATCCTTAGTTTGTCCACTTTGTTGCTCAATGAGCGCAGGTTTGTGAGAATGATGGATGGAAGTGGTGGCCGGCTGAATCTCCGCCGTAGGCGATTCCGAACGCCTCCCCTCCTTCCTCGTCTCTTTTTCCTGATGTGTCTAAGCAGCTCCCGAGGGATGTCATCCAATAACGAATAACACAGGTGGCTTGGTGTATTCATAGGAGGCCGATCGCATTGTAGCTCCAGCATAGCCTCGCGGCTGTAGCAGCGTAGAGGCCGGGGCTCCTCGCCGTACCTGTTCGTGTTGTGGCTCAGGTGTGTTTTGAAAAGTTGTATGGCCAGACATGGTCCGCAGAAGGCAAAAGTAATCCACACGATCAAAAGCATGGTCTCTCAAAAATGATGTTTCATCCAGACAAACAACGTTTTAGAAAATAATTAGCCCAAAAACAAACAAACAAAACACAAGACGGACGGAGCAGCTGAGACGCGGTGCGCAGCCGAGGAGTGCACTTCACGCAGTCCTTGGCCTGGACTCCATATTGTATTAAGCGTCTTTGGGTCTAGAAAAGCGCTATATAAATCCCATTTATTATTATTATTAGTTACACACATACTGCACAATTTGTGATTTGTGTGTGTTTTAGAATGCATGCAGTTTAACAAAATGTATTTCTTGTTTTTGTCAAAGCAGAGGCTAAGGATAATGGTCAAAGTGGAACCGAAGCCTTCCTGGCCAGTGTGGTCACCTTGTGTAGGCGCAGTGGAAACGACTGGTATCGAGTCTACTTGATCCGTAAGATCTGCAGCCAACATGGAGTGGAGTTTGTCCTGAAACAACTCAAAGTGGACGACATGCGCTGGCTCTTCCCCGTGGAAGTGCTGCAAAAGGTTCAACATTGTGATTTTTAAGTGTTAGTACCCAGATAAAAGCAATGTTGTATTCCAAAGCTGAAACTAAATAGTGTGGATTTATTTACGTTACACCCAGAGTGAAGAAGCCACCCCAATAGACCAGTTTCTTGTGTGTGGGGACGACTACAAGATCATCAGGGATGCTGTTGCAAAGGGAATAATGGACTGCAAAGTAGACGGACTGGACAAGATTTGTGAGGTAACGTTACTTACTTGTTGGTAACTGAGCATTTGGTAAGGACTCTGCTTTTAATTGTGAGTTTACATTGATATCTTGTTGCTCTTTTTCTTTATAGGGGTGCAGATGCTCACCACAGGGTAAAATAGTTAATCTTCTGTTGGCGTTGTACAGGGAAGTCACCACTCTCTACAGGGAAGCCAATGCTAGCTTCCACCCCAAGCCCAAGGTAGATCTTCACACCCCCTGATATAACTATTTGTTTATGTAATTTGGGAACGGTTACCCACGCTTTTCTTAACTGGACTCTTTTCTGTCTTTGTCAGTAAACTATACATCTATATATATTAATGAATCTATTTTACCTGCAGCAATTGGAAGCCCTAATGGCCTACATCCAGGACTCCAAAGTCCTTGCCAGCCCACAGGTAAAGGCCTTTGCCAAAGCTCTGGTGACCAACCAGGTAGGGCCGTTGGTTGTTTGTCCCGGGGCTTCTGGTGCAAATTGTGTGCTGGCGGACTTAACCATTCACCTGGCAGCTGTCTTACTCATCAATAACCAGGGGATCTTGGCCCCCCTGCAGCAGCTGGCCATGGCGCCTGCCAACATGCAGGTATGCATATTGTCAACAGCTTCCAGTATTGGCTTTGTCTTCTTTGAAGCCCACCTCATATTTTTATGTTTTGTTACAGGCAGCCTTCTTGCCAACTATGCCTGAGGACATGTTGGCAGTGGCTCAACAAGCTATGGGGCCGTTGCAGTGGTACAGTAAGTCACAGACAAAATGACACTCACATTTGAAATATCATTGAAAATACTATACAAGTAATTTTGTATTTACTCTTACCATAGATTGTCCAAATGGTCACCCATGCACCATTGGAGAGGTATGTTATGTTCTGTCTGAATCATAAAAACTTTGCAATCTAGTTGAGTCTCTTTTTTGGAGTATGCTTTTCATACATTGGAAAAAACGTTCTTGCGTCTTTTTTTTCTCCAGTGCGGCCAGCCCATGCAAACAAGTGAATGTCCGGACTGTGGTGTTAAAATAGGAGGCGACAACCACATTCCTGTGGCGGGATTTCAAGCTCTTCAGTTGCAGTGAGTGTTCTGTGATATAATTCGAGCCACACATCTAATATAAACAGTCACTTAGTGTATGTTTTGTTTTCATTTCAATTTATTTTTGTTATCTTCCTCTCACAGAGGTGACCGCACTCAGACAGGTCACATCCTCGGTGACGACAGACGCAGGGACAATCCAGACATGTTGGACACAAAGAGCATGTCCCCAGTTCCCTTCACCATGGCCCGCATGCTCAATCACATGGCCATGCTACTGGGTGCCCACAGCTGCCCACAGGTACTGGAAAGTTATCATGGACACCCTCTCTTCCTGCAAATTATTCTTGATTGTTTGGAGAATCTCCAGATAAAATGCTAACAAACCATACAAACCCCATCATGTATGTGTTTATAGAACTACGCTTTTACCATTTAAGAGAATGGGGTCTGGTCAGTCATCCACTGTATTTGTGTTTCTAGTCTATCTCGGCCATCATCAAGCCACCAGTCCATGACCCAGGTGCATTTATACTTGCTCACCTGCAAAAGGACTTGAAACATCTCATCAGATCTCTGGGTAAAGGGACAGATGACACAGTCAGCACTGTTCACCTGCTCATCAGCAGCCTCGTGGAACCACAACAACAACAAACATGTAAGGAACAACAAACCTGTAAAACAGTCACACGCTTTGAAAATGTTTTGAGATACATAATGATACCAACATCTCTATCAATATCCGAATATCAGTCTGACACTTTAGAGCAGCTTTCTCACTGTTTTCATTTCTATTCTAACGGTAGTTAGTTTTTTGCTCTTAAGCCTTGCTCTTATCTTGTTATATTGTTCATTTGCAAGCTGCAGGACAGTGACAGAAAATAGGAAAAAGAGGGGTGTCGCATTAAAATCAAGTACTTTTAAATCACTCCAAAGAAATATGACGTGAAAGTCCAGATTGGTATTTGCAGTTCTAATTCTAGCTTTTTGATGCGATGTCAGTGTATCTTAGTATAGAAACTTTTTTTACCTCTCCTACTAAGTTACATTTTGAACCTTTTTTTAAAAAGGACACAATCGATTTACTGGATTAACTTCTACTATTTAACACATCAGGTCTTTCCTTTTCAGGGCCTGCTGCTTTTGACAATCTGCTCTCCACCAAACATGCTAGAAATGGATGGGAGATGGAAGTGAGCAACACCATCATCACACCTCAGCTGAAGGTAGAAATAATGTATTTCTTCTACATTTGAACAAATAATAGGCATTATTACATTCCAGGATTTTTTTTTAAATTCCATGTCATTCTCTCCTTCATAGAACTTGGATAGACGGCTTAAGGAAGTGAACAAGTTCCTCCAGGCTGATTCTCGCGTCTCGGCCAATCCAATCATGAAGCTAATGTTTGGAAATCCCAGCCTCTTCTTGACCTCACTTCCCCAGAACTCTCTGATCCACGGCTCTGCGGTGTGGAGCTGCCGGGAGAAAGTGTCTCTGCTGAGCCTCACTCACATTGTGGAGCAGAATGATGGCAAAGACATGCTGCCGGTGCTCTGGAGATTTCTGCATAGGGTAAGGAAACAATGACCAGATTTCAAAAAGCTTTGTCAGGAACTGGACAAAAAAAATGTATGCAATGTATCTAAGAGACTGGGTGTTATGGCAACCACAATAATTAAATACTGCTTGCATTACATTAAAGAGCACACTTTTGCCCCCATTTGTGCAGTACACACACTAAAAGACACAATGTGCAGAATTACAAATAATGTTTTACCATTATATATCTATATAATTGTATTTTTGTTGAAAGACCTCTGACTTCATTGTTAATGGTTCCAGAATGACCAGAAATTAAACATCGTTTTGTATGCCACAATATCTGTGCTGATAAATAAAAATATGAATGTAAGGATACTGATGGGGCAAGACCGGCTTACACACAACACATTTTCCTAATTTGTGGCTTATTTAATATTCACATACTGAACCAGATCTTAAACATAATTTTACAAGCGCTTATCTGAACACATCCATTCTTTTTTTTGTTTAGGAAGCGGAGCTCAGACTAGTGAAGCACCTTCCTGATATCCTCACGCTCCAGAGAGATCTGGTCAAGAAGTTTCAAAACATCACTGAGCTGACTTGTGGCACCATTACGGAGTTCCTCCACAGTCAGAAAGCAGGTACTGAAACTAGCTGCCTATGCCAGTGATTTCTCAACTTTTTCAAGTATGACTCACTTGCTAAGAGTTACACATAGTTCCTACTTACCTCTTTCTCGGAAATGGCATAGCAAAGGAGCTGGCGGTGTACAGTTCAAAAACCTGCCTGTCAAGGAATGAGTTGTTTTAACCAGGAAGGAGACAAAGAGCTGTTAGACGCATGAGAGGTTTTAATATGCTATAGTCAATCCTCTGTACTGCGGGTCATTTCTCGACTTAATCAGAAACACGTTTAATGCCAAGTAGGTTTACACATAAGAGACATTTGCTTTGGTTTCTAATAAACACAGAAATAAAGTTGGAAAATAAAAGCAATTATAGTAAAAACTTACAAAAAATATTATAAATGAACAAGAACATCTGTTCTGTGAAAAGATACAAGCAGTATTTCAGATTGCTGATGGAAGTTGAATATCTGTGCAGTTAGCAGAGTAGCATTGTGGAGAACATGCAAAATAGTCAGAGGACACAAAGATGTGTTTACACTTGGTATTACAATTATGTTTTCTTTTTCCTGTGTGCAGCTTCGCTGAAAGCCTGGTATGATAAATACATCAACATCTTCCTAACAACCTGGAATCAGCTCAGAGTGTCTTTGGCCACTAATGGTAAATACAAACAGTTTGATACACTGACACTGGTCTGTCCAACATGATGATCCTACCTAATTGAAATGTTGTCGTTCAGGTGAAATCAAGATCCCAGCAGAGTTCTGCCAGAATGACCTGGACCACAACAGTGACTTAAAGGTGCTGTTACCACGACGACAAGGCCCAGGCCTGTGCTCCACAGCTCTTGTCAGCTACCTCATCGCCCTGCATAATGACCTGGTGTACTGTGTGGATAAGCACACTGGAGAGGAGACCAGGTGGGGGCGCTCATGCCACATTTTTCGATTTAACTTCTGCCTCAAACATATACACTACATTAAAGTGTTGGCTTCACTGAGAGACCAATACAAGGATTGAGACATAACTACAAAACAAAACATGTTTGCAGATATAGTCACATAATACTTTAAGCTCAAGCTGCACAGATACTGTCTGACTGGCCTTTTTTCTCCTTCTACCCAGCTACAAAGTGAGTCCTGCCGATTTGACTGAACTGCACGTAATTCGGTACGAGCTGGACAGAGACCTCATGCCCCTGGTTCTGTCCAACACCCAGTACAGCATAGAGAAAGGCCAGGAGACTCTTCATGAGTATGACTTGCCCAAGATCCAGCAACAGATAATCTCCCGCTACCTATTGGGCAAACCTCTAATCACTCTCAATGTGAGTAGTAAAGGAAAGCACTAGAAAATCACAGAATTGTGTTGTGAAATGTGTTAATATACAACAATCCTTGTGCCCTTTTCCCACAGGGCATTCCAACACTGGTGACCAGACATGACCGCAACTACGAGGTCATCCTGAAGGATGTAAAAGCAAAAGTCCAGCAAGTAAGTACTACAACTATCATTCATTTTCCACATATGGTATATAAAACCTGTTGGCTCAGGATATGCTTCATCATATTTTCTGATCACTGTCATCTGATCAAAAATATGTTTCTGTTTCTGCTTTGAAAAAGATTCCAGGGTCCATACATTATTTCTGCATCCAATGTTCCCCTCGGTTACCTGCACCCGTCATCAGAATTAGAATCAGAATTCCTTTATCATCCCACAGAGGGGACATTTACAATGATACAGCAAAGAGACAAAAAAAACAGAACACTTTAATATAAAAGTCCTGCACACAATATTTAGAATAAAAATGCTTGCATCTTACAGTACACATTAAAGCCCACACTTAAGCACTACTGTTGTAAATAATGTCCTCATGAGTTGATACGACCTGTGACTGTGTGCCAACAGGAGCCTCTTCAGACTCTCACCCTGTCTGCCATGGCTGGGGAGCTGCACTCCTACAGTGAAGTGTGTGAGGCCTTGTCCACACTGGAAGTGGCCCTCGGTTTCCTCGCCACGACTGGGGGAGATCCTCTCATGCAGCTGTCCTGCTACCTGGAGGAGGTGCTGCAGATGGGGAACCAGATGGCTCCACATATCTTCAAGGTCAGCCTATCTGGGACACTGATAATTTTATCCTGTTGCATGTTCTCCCGCTACAACAGATATTTCTTTAACGATGTACATAACCCTTAGAATTTGCCAAATCTGCCCCAAAGAGCTACTTTTCTTGTTTTTTTTGTTGGATGAAAATGAACTGATTTATGAGATCTTACTTAATGGTCTCCCTGTTTTGCTTACAGGCCATGAGCATGTGCTTTCTTAGGCATTGTGTGGCTCTGTGGCAGCTGCTGGCCTCACTCAAATCAGAAAATATGCTACGGCTCAAGAGGGTAAGACATCAGTATACAAACACACGGGTGGAAATGGTTTAATTATTCATTAAAATTTTTTTTTATCATAAATGCTTTCTCTTTCTTCTTCAGGATCCATTTGTGGAAGTCTCAGGGAAGTACAAACAGGCCCTGAGCGAGGAGGAGCACAGGCTGCTCATCGGCTTCTTCTCTAAGAGCAGCGCTGACAGTTTCCTGCTGGAGATGCACGAGTTCCTGGTGCTTGTTCTTAAAAAGTCCAATGCACTTGAAACCTACAGGCCTGACTGGAGGTAAAAACTAAAGGTTTTTGTGAAATGACGTATGATTTGCACATGTCTATCTTTTCTCAAAAGTATGTCTTAAATAGAGGCCGGTTCATTCAGGATGAAAGATAGAGATAAGAGGGGAAACCCATCAGCTAAAACAAAGTGGATGGTTTCATACTCCCACTTTGAGACGCCTTGACTGAATTGAACATGTTGCACACACTAACAAACATGAAGTTCAATTTGGTTAGACTTGGTTCTATATATTACAACTTTTTACATTTTAGTATTGCAATATTTTCCAATGGAACCATAAAGTTGATATACTATGACTAAGTATAAACTGCACAATTGTGTAACATAGCTATTCACTTAATGTTATATGGATCACAAACTTTCAAAATGTACCTTAAGTCTTAAATCAAGTGTTAAAAAACATATTATTTATTTCATTTAGGGAAAAAAATGAATGAAAACAAATTATATAGACTGGAGAATTTATATTTAGGTGTGTGTACGTTAGTGTGACTTCAGTTCACATGTATAAATGATATGTTTGTCTTTTAAAAGCCTGAAAGACACACTGGTGTCTTACATGGAGCGCAAAGACCTGGACACCCCCCCTGATGTGGAGGAGCTATTCCCGGGGGAGATCTGTCTGTCCCAGTATGTTGAAGCCTGGAAGTTCATCGTGGCCTTCAAGCAGGAGCGCGGCCAGCGACAATGAGAATGTGATGAAAGGGATGTTTTTGTGTATGCCTTCATTTTGTGATACTATCAAATCCATAAACTTGAAGTTTACAATCATGATGATTCCACAGAATTGAAGTCAGTGTTTTATTTTACACAAATATATGCAGAGCTGATGTGCCTTTTTTAGAGCACTGCTGTTAAGATTCATAATGACTCAAAATATAAATATCATAAAGATTAAAAAAAGTGTGCAGTTCACACTCACAGCTCAGCTGTATGAAGAAGTGATCTTTGAAGATTTATTTATTGTCTTCTATTTTTCTAACCGCCAACATGTTGACAGTTTCCATACAGTTTAAAGTCTTCTTTCTTGCACTTTAGTTGTGAACATGTCTGTCCCTAAGAGGCAGAGAACAATCTAAATTCTACTCAGGGACAACATGTGGAATACCTCTGGGCTCTGCAAATCACTTTGACTTGAGTTACTGTACTGGAAGTTCAGTATAATATATCTTTTCACTTTGCTTAAACCAATTGTTTTGTAATTTCCATCCTTTTTTTATCACTGTTCATTCATGTTATTTTGATGTTCCTAGAAGTTGTATTTTGCCTTTCTTCCACTTTTTTTTATTTCATTTAAAGCAAAAGTTTCTTCACATAACTGTTATGTTATGTTCAGCATATTTACTGAATACAATATACTCTTACTGTCTTACTTTCCTATTTTGTTATTCCTGGTATGTGTGCATGGTAAAAGATACTGCATATAATAAATGATTCCACCTTCTGCATGCTTGTTTTGTGTGTTTTGAGATGATACAATCACATGATATACATGTTTTAAATGTGGCATTTTACTCACATTATGCTGGTTGGCTAGTACAGTATTACTTTGCCAATACATTACGGCAGCATTTTGGTGGAATGTAAATGTTTCCATCTGCCATTGTAGACAGAATTATTTCCTGACTCGACTATAAATTGGTCTTACATCCTGTAGTCATGGTGGAGTTTGAAAGTAGAATACTTTGCTCAGCAGGGGTTTAGCAACAAGAACACGGATGAAATGTGGATATCGTGCTTAGATTTACCCCCTGTGAGACTAACATCATTTATGGGAATAAGCAGATTCAATTGTTTTTGTGTGTGTCATGTTGCCATCAGCTTAAAGGGCACAACAAATAACAAAAAAAACATAACATATTTTCTCAGTTATCTCAGTATCTGCCCATAGAGAACTTTTCTGTTTTACTTTACATGGTTTTGAGATATCCATGATCTGCTGTTCTGTTGCTGGCCCCTATATAATTCCATGTGTATGTCTACAGTTGTACAGAGAATGTTTTACATAACATTCTCAACAGCATTACTAGCCTACTGTAGCTCACAAGTAAATGACTCTTTATTTACATGTTACATCACTACCAAAAGCCAACAGAGTCTTTCCATGATGGAGTGCTCAGGAAATGGCTGAATGCCTAAGGTTACGTGACTTTCTGACCCTCTGTTGGTGGCAGCTCAATGTGTTTCTGATCAGGCTGATGGAAATGATAAGGGCAAGCCTGCTGCTGGATGGCTTCTTAATTCAATTTCCTCTATACCAAAGCAGTGTTTAGCATAACAATGACAAATGGAAGCATGCGCCTGCGAAAGTAAACCATGCCAGCGACCACCCTCTAGTAGTCTGCAGTCAGTAAATACATTCGCTAAGGCCCTGAAGTCGATTACCGACGTGGTCGAGTTGGAGGCGTCGATGAGCGTGAGTCGGGACCAGGTCGGGACCTTCCACGGCAAAAAAAAATCAATGATTGGCTGCTCACCTTAAGCCAATCAGCGAAGGGGAAGGGAAATGGACGAGAGGAAAACAAACAACTCAAGTCATGAGGGAACACACAGGGCCTTTCTTATTTCTCTAATTTCCCCTCCTCGACTCCTCGGCTCCTCCGCTCGCATCTCCTGTGGGCGGGACTAAGACACGAGGATAGGAGTCGAGGAGGGGAAATTAGTGAAATGAGAAAGGCCCACGGAGGCTTTTCCTGTTTTAAAATATTCATCTCATATGATAATTTTAATAATCGAAAAGGTGCACGCCTTCATGGCTGTCTTGATTCAAATTAAGTGGTGAGCAAGAGTGGTGTGAACATGGTTAAATGCTGCTTTTTTAAATGTCTGTAACAATGGCTTGTGTATCTAAGTATGTAAGTCGCTTTGGATAAAAGCGTCGAACAAGTGACGTGTGATGTAATGTATCTGTTTTCTGGTTTACATTTCCCCTGCCCATGCCGCATTTCCTCTCATGCTGGTGCAGAGAGAAGGCAAGTTGGCAACGTGATTGTTGGCCATAATGTTCTTGTTTTTGCTGTGTGTTTGGTTCAAATGCTTCCTGTTGGCCTAGCTGCATGCACAATTAGGCTTGTTTGTGATGTTGGTTTGGTGTGTCAGGCCCTATAGACTGCCAGGTTCCCGGATTATGTGTTTACTTTATCTCAGTGGCATAATGATTAATCTATCATCAAATAATTGTTATGTTGACAGACCAGCCCTAATGTGATGCTTACATGCAAATCTAGACATGTGTGCTGCTCATTAGCAAACCCAAAATGTGGAAATACTGTACATGGGGTTAATAAACACCCACAAATGGGTCATGATGCATGATTTGCGCAACTTGTACTGTAGAACAAGCTTGACTGAGCAAGTTCAATCACTTTCACTTCCACTCCTGTAGGCTTCAAAGCCACCATGCCAAGGGTACAAAAGGAAGGATACAAAGGAGCCAATTGTTTTTGTTTTTGTCTCTTGATGAGGAAGAATTAGGGGCAAAATTACTGTGGTGGCTCACATTGAATGATATTCATTGTCGATGGACAGTTGGGATCAGGTCACAAAAACGTCCCATTTTGGTTTGCATGTTGGAGCATTTGACTGCTGTGACTGTATTACGGGCATTACAAGTCTTCAACTATACAGTAACTCTGCTGGGTCATTAATATGCCATTAATCACTTTAGCCAGTTTTATCCATACTTCAAACCAGTATTAAATACCATGGGAAAACTGAGCACTTAAAAACACATCTCTTTTCTAGTTTGTTGGACACATGCTTGGTTTAAATGTATCCAGCAAACTTTTTGAATCTAGTCATTCATTTTTTCTCCAAGTGGTCCCTCTGTTGCTCTCTTTGTGAAGCCTTAAGGAAAGGTTAATGTCACAAAATATGACTTAAATCTAGGTCAGCAGACTTAATCATTTCTCCCCTTTATACATGCCCTATGAACTTTACAGTCCAGTTAAAATAATAGAAAGTTCATTCTTGAATCGTCTATGTGCCTTGATCTGCGGAGGAGCTTCAACCTTAACCCTTTATAAAACAGTCTCAGATATTCATCATGTTTACACCTTGGAGATCCAATATCATTTCCAGGCGACGTCGCCAGTCAGTCGCTCTCAGCCAAAAAGGAGCTAAGATTTGAATGATTGTGGTATGAAATCAGCCCCCTGAAATACCCCTGAGACCTCACAAAGAAACCTAACAGGCTACTGTATTTTCAATGGGGCATTACATATGCTTTACCGCCGGTCTGGGAAAATGTTTTTTTTAAATTAGCCCTAGGGTGCTGCTGTTATTGTATTATTATCAAATTAGTGTATTTTAATTACTACGTCATCTGAAATGTATGTGCCAGTAGGTCACAGCGGGTTGAGAGCGTGTCCAGACTCTCAGGTGGCTCAGCTTGCTGTACAATGCTGAAATGACTGCGAGAAAGACAAGAAAGCCTCAGTGAACACATCTGTGAATTATATTAGTTAATTGTGTGCACTTCTCCTTGCACTCAACACTAGGGTTGTGCTCCAAGCACAAGGAAGACATTAAGAGCCCTGCTGCCATGTTGTTCTATTAAATATGTGAAGAAAAAATACAATTACTAGTTAAGTGGGAACATACCACATGGGAGTATGAGAGGCACAGCATTTCACGATTGCAGAGGGAGTTCATATTTTGCCATGCACATAATCAGGTTACCAAGCTACACCATTGAAAGATCTACATGCATTCATGTACAGAACATTCATTCAAATATCATTGCATTTCAAATGTTTGTCCAATCAAGAAATGTACCAATTCTGATTTGAAACATGTTTGGTTGGTCACTGTGAACTTAAAGATAAAACAGATAAAACAATTAAAAGTATTTCAAAAAAATGATTACCTACAAAATGATGGGCATTCCTTAATGGAAAATAGTTGTTTTTGAAAAATACTGAGGCTCTAGTCCAAGTGGAGCCTGCTACAAAACTCAGTTTGGGAAGAACATCCTAAATCCATCTGATGCATAACTACAGCTTGAACTTCAATACCTAACTTTCTACAGGCAGGCAGCTCAGCCTTTTCCATAACAATAAAACCACATATTGTATCAGATTGTTATGGTAAGATGAGATCACATTTGAGAAGCTCAGATATATGTCAAGCATTTCAATAATGAGAAGAAGCAAAGGCAGGACAGGGTTATGGGGTACATGCACATTGTAAGAAGCTCCTGCTGCTTCTACTGACTTTTGTTTTTGGAAAAGGCGCTGTGAAAAAAGGGAAAGGGATTTTATAATCCGTGCATTGTGTTTGGAAAACAATTTGGGGCGGTGTCACAAGGCTTGGAGACAAACTCTCATTATGTTACAGAATGGGTATCTGCTGTGCTCTAACACCAGTGTCTTGTTCCTTTAGGTATTCATATTTGATATCAGGTGCCAGTGAGTTTTAGCAGAATCACGCTGCTGGCTAATGTTCCTACCGACACAACGTCTGCATTTTTCTTTGCAAGACGTCCTACAAGGGATAGGGCCTATGTAAAAAGATACATTTATTTGACTTGTTTTTACTCGTATATAACCTTATCTTCTACGCTTGTATTAACGGCAACAAGCTAAAAGTCCTGTTTTTGCTGACCTCTTGTGGTTCAAGTTCTGGCATTGTCCATCAAATATGTATTTGTAAGGACTATTACTGATCAACACGACAACATATGGCAGCTATTGAAGATGTTAGATTATAAGTCTCCATCATTTAAGACTATTGAATTAAGGAGTAGTTGCCTACACTTCCCTTTTTCATGGTGTTGAGTACAAATTAGACCCTCCAGAAAAACGCTAGCAAAAATCCTTGATTATGCGGGCTAAAATCCTTGATTATGCGATTAAACATGCAGGGGTTTTATGTGATTTTATGCGGTGAAATTGCGGGAAGTTGCGAAATATGCGGAAACTTGCGAAAAATAATAGATTTTTTTTTAAATATTGGGCTGTCTTATTTATTCTCTCTCACACACAACCTGCCACTAACGTTAAACCCCTTCCCTATTCAATTAAACACATTCAATGTTTATTTATTGTAAAAGCAATTGGGCTATTTTAATCACACTCTCTCTCTCTCTCTCTCTCTCTCTCTCTCTCTCTCTCTCTCTCTCTCTCTCTCTCTCTCTCTCTACGTTGTTGTTTACCTTCTGTGATGCGCGAGCTGATGACGTCGCGTCATCATCATCACTAGGCTACTTCACGTCAAGAGGAGTTAACTTTTTTTTCCTCTCAACTTTGTGTGGAAAATGCGGGGATTATGCGGCCTTTTGATAAATATGCGGCCTTTTAAAAATCTGCGCCATTTTGCTGATTATGCGGTAAATTCTGCGATCGCAGAACCGCGTTTTTCTGGAGGGTCTAACAAATACATTTGAACCCACTGACCTGCAACACAGCCTAGGCTAGCACTCTGCAGATGTTAATCATTCTGCTACT